ACATTGCTATTGAGATAGATGTATCATTAGTTGCTCGCGAAAATTTTTATGATTAGTTAAATTGACAATGACGTCGGGTAGGTCATTCCAGAGTGCTATGGCACGAGGCAAAGCCGATGAATTGAATGATTTTGTTTTTTATTTGTGGGGTTTACCGTCCCAAAACCACCATATGATTATGAGAGACGCTGATTTTGTTTTTCCAAAAAATGCGCGATGCTTCGCTGATTGTGAAGTCGTTTAGACATGCGCAATGGTGCCGTTAGTGGGAAGGGTGGTGGCCTGGACGCGTGAATATATTTATGAAGCAAAGACAGGAGGGCAACTGTGCGCCGTATGTCTAGATGCTGTAATAAAAGGTCATGTTTTATTTGTGTGACGCTTTAGGGGCGACTGTAAATACGTGAAATGAACCGTGCCACCCTGTTTTGCACAGCTTCTAGCTGGTTAATGAGATAGGCTTGAAAGGGGGACCATATGGGTGATGAAAATTCCAGCTGTGGGCGAACAAAGCTTAAGTAAGCTTGTTTGCGAACGTTATTTGGCGCGTTTCGAAGGTTTCGACGTAAGTATCCCAGTGTTCTTGATGCGTTTGCAGATATGTAGGTTACATGTGCCGCCCAAGTAAGATTAGAAGTGAAATGAATGCCGAGGTACTTATACGAAGACGATCGTGACACGTTAGAATTATTTATGGAGTAATCAAATTCAACAGTTAATTTTTTTCGACTAAAGGATATTACATTACATTACAAATCCCCATATCTCGTGTTAACACATACGTATACTCTTATTTTTCTAGAACCATAACAGACTGTACGGAATCGTGAAACTAAAAAAATGAATTCAAAACTACAGAATATTTTCTAAGTAAATCTTTAAGAATGCTAGCTCTTTCTTTTTTAACTTCATTGAATGTACCAAATCAAACAAATTTTGTGTGGTATGCAGAACTTAGTATTGTGATGCCTAATGTTCTGCAGTGATTGATGTACTAATAATGTAGAGAGAGAGAGAGCGATAAAGATGCAAGGAAGTGCAGGGAGGTTAACCAGACGTACATCCGGTGTGCTACCCTGCACTTGAGAAGGGATGAAGGGGAGAAAAGAGGTTGCAGAGAGATAAGAAGGTACACACAATCACGAGCACACTCGGGGGAGCACACACAGTCTACAGGCGCTCGCTCAGGTTTGTTGACTTTAAGTAAAGTAGGAGTGCTTTAGTCGCTTTCTGCGCAACTGAGGCAGATGCCCAAGGTCCTAGAATCTTCTGCACACAAAATGGTCTGAAGTCAAGTCGATTCAAAACCATCCGGAGCTGGCATCGCTGTGTGTCGTAGCAAGCGCAGCTGCACAGGACGTGTTCAATGGTCTCTTCAGCTCCGCAGTAGTCGCATGTAGGAGTGTCTGCCATACCAATGCAAAAAGGGTACACCTTTGTGAATGCAACACCCAACCAAAGGCGGCATAACAGTGTCACATCGAAGCGGGAATGTTGTGATGGTAGCTGTATCTTGAACGAAGGATCCAGTTCATATAATAGACATCTTTGGAAGCTGGTAGACGTCCAGAACGTGCGTGTAAGATCTCAAGCCAGCAGGTAAAGATGCCTTGCTGCATCATTCCTTGATAGAGCAATCGTGACCACACGGGTTCCTTCATGGGCTGAGCGGGCTGCATTATCTGCTAATTGATTTCCGGTAATACCGATATGTCCAGGCAGCCATTGATATATAATATTATGCCCTCGTGCTAGAGCTTCATGATGGCAATGTCTTATTTCATGTACCAATTGTTCACGATTCCTCCTACGCATGGCAGACTGCAAACTCTGAAGCGCTGCCTTCGAATCACAGGGGTTTCGTTGTGCAAACAGATGAGGGTAAAACTGCTGAACATTACACCTACTGCGGAGTACCTCAGGGAGGTGTTTCAAGCCCTACATTGTTCAATGTGGCCCTCATTGGTCTGGTGAAGGTTCTGCCAAAATCGGTGCGCCTATCCATATACGCTGATGATATTTGCCTCGGGAGTGCTGCAGTTACTCGCCCTCAGGTGTGTGCACGAATACAGCGGGAAGCAACCCTCACAACAGCCTACCTTCAGAAACAAGACCTAACTATATGAACTGTGAAGTGCGCGTTGATGGCGTTCACACGCAAACCAATGACGCCATACCCTGCTTTCATCAATGGGCAGAGTGTCAAATATGCACGGCGCATCGTTTTCTGGGCATAATAATCGGCAGAAGTTTGTCGTGGAGCCCGCATTGTGCGTACTTGAAGAAGAGACTGCTATCTATTGTGCATATAATGAAATTCATCTGCGGGAAAGCATGGGGAACTTCTGTGGCCCCCATGCTACAGCTGTACAGGGCCCTATTTCTGGGTCTATTGCGCTACAACTTACCGGTACTGACTAACACTTGTAAATTCAATACTCATTCATTGGAGAGTTTGCAGGGTCAGGCGCTGCGTATCTGCCAAGGACTGCCCCGATGCACTTCTACTTATGCCCTAATCGTACTTGCCAAAGACCATCCGGTTAGGACATATTTTTTATTTTCATTTACTCATACTGTTGGCCTGTCGGCCGTTACAAGGTGGGTCAAAGTGGGACATTTGCATAGTCAACATCGCGGGATTTGAGAAGAGAAAAAATAAGAATCCATATTACATAAGAGAAAAAAAACACAAGCGTACATAAAAAAGAAACCATACTACATAAGAAACCGTACATAAGATACCACACACAAGAAAACATAAGCGTACATAAGCGAAATAGTTCCTGTATACATGATCAAATTATACGACATCATAAATGCACAGTTAACAAGCGATGTTAGAAAATATAACCGACCATTACCGTACAAGAACACACAGCAGTACATGCGGAATAATCTGTACATATACCGATCAAACAATACAAAGCTAACAACACAACGCAACAACTGAACTCGGACAACCACTAAATAGATAGCATGCGTAAAGGCGTGCGTCTTTAATGACCTACTAGGTTATTTTCAAACTGTTCTGCACTATTACTTTCTCGTGCTTGTAGTGGCAATTGATTCCATTTTTTAATGTTTCTTGGAAAGAAAGAAAACGCACAACTGTTAATGTGCATCTGAGGTATTTCGAAAGTACCATCTTTGATTCTTCGCAATGCTCTACCTTGTGGTGCTATCAAGTACTGACTGCTATTGATGGTGAATTTGTTTTTAGAGAGAAGGTAAAAAAACTTTAGTCTTGCTATGCGCCTGCGTTCAGCAAGCGTGAGCAAGTTTAGCAAACCGAGCATTTCGGTGACGGAATCCGTACGAGAGTATCGCGCAAGAATAAACCTTGCTGCTCGTCGTTGAACTCTTTCCAGTCTCTGAATTAACCCTGACTGATGAGGGTCCCAGATTATACTGGCATACTCTAGCGTGGGCCGAACGTAGGTCAAATAAGCTGTTAGTTTTACTGACTGTGAGGCTAATTGCAGTTTCCGTCTCAAGAATCAGAGCTTCTTTTCCGCAGTTTCGCATATTTTGCCAACATGGTAAGACCAGCTTAAATTCGTGGATATATTTACGCCTAAGTATTTCAGCACGTCAACCGTGGAAAGCACCAAGGAATTCACTGTGTAATAAAGTAGAAGATGTTATTTGCTTTATTTGTTACAAGCAATAAAACAGTTTTATTCTCATTTATTTTCATTTTCCATTTGTCGCACCATTCTTCTACTGTCCTAATAGCGTCACTGAGTAACTCCTGATAAACCAGGGCTATCAGATTTCTTTGTACAATAGACAATCATCAGCGAAAAGTCGGACAGTGATCCTTTCGTCAATTTCAGAGGCGATATCATTAATATAGACTAGGAATAGCACTGGGCCTAACACAGACCCCTGGGGAACACCTGACGCCACGTTCAACGGTTTTGATTTATTGTGTTATACTTCTACGTACTGCGTTCTGCCCCGAAGGTACGCGGTTATTCATTTTACTATTTGTTCGTTTATTCCCATAACTGCCTGTTTCAGAAGCATTCTACATGTAGCACTCTGTCGGATGCTTTCGACGGATCAAGACAGATGGCATCTATCTGTTTCTTTTTGTATAACGTCATGGGAAAGTCATTAATTGTTTCAAGAAGCTGTGTTGCTGGGGAAAGGCGCTGTCAGAAGCCATGTTGTTTGGGAAAAAATTTGTTGTCATTTTCAATATACGTGTCAATTGACTTGGCTACAATGTGTTCTAGGAGCTTGCAGCAAACACAGGTCAGCGATATTGGACGATAGTTTTCAATGAATTGCTTATCACCAGACTTTTGCACAGGTATAACCTTTGCCGTAAGCCAATCATCAGGGATTCGGCAATCTGCTAGTGATGTGTCAAATATAATCTTTAAGTAATGAGCAACCCATTCCGCATACCTGTGCAGAAATGCATTCGGTATTTCATCAGGGCCTGCTGACTTTTTTACGTCAATATTCAGTAGTTGGACCACAATTCTCTCATAAGAGACTTCAACATCTGGCATTTTTACCGAGCGAAGCAATGGAGAGGGAGCGGATTCGACACCGGATTGTGACGGAGTAGAAAACACCGACTGACAGAATTCGTTGTAACAAGAAGCGATTACTGCAGGATCAGTAACCACTCTGTTATCCGCTACAATGCTAAGTGACACGTTATCTTTTTTCGACATGTGACGGCAAAGTTTATCAGGAGAATTTGTCATGAACTCTGTCAGTGTTTCTTTGTAATATCTATTTTTGGCTTCTGTAATCATGGAATGCAGTTGTGCAGACAATTCAGTTATTTTTGCGTGGTCTTTTGTTACTTTGCGTCTCTGGCGGCGTATTCTACGCTTCAGTTCGATTATTTCTCTGCTTATCCAAGGGTTCCGCTTAACTTTCCTTCTTTTCCGAAACGGTACGAAATTTTTGATACAATGGGATTTGGAGCCGGCACGCTGGCGGACATGCAGCTGATTTCCCTGTTGTTCACGCAGGTTTTCGCAAGTTTTGGATTTGCCTTCTGGCTCGCTGCGATTGTCGGCAGCGCAGATCTACACTCTGGCCAAAACCAAGCTTCAGCTGTGCTGTCATCTTCAGCGAGTATCGCATCCCACGCCTTGTCAGACCACGCCACGAATTCCGAGCCCGCTATCTTCGATGACGAGCTCGGCGCGTGGCGGAACTTCAGTGATTGCCATCGACGAATCACCTACGGACATTGGCGCCCATGTGACCAAAATGAACCCTATATAGACGAGCAACGCTTCTGCCTCGTGGGATTTGGAGCCGGCACGCTGGCGGACATGCAGCTGATTTCCCTGTTGTTCACGCAGGTTGGTTTACATTATCCCATTCGGGCTTCTCGGCTATTGTGTGCGTTGCCGGCTCCTCCCACTTTGGCATTTGCTGATGCTCATTGTCGTAAAAGAGCGCGAGCGCCTCGAAGAACGTCTTTTCTGTTTGCTAAAAGGGTGTTATATTTGTTCCTACTGCTGTTGCTTTCCGGCGATGTGGAACTTAACCCGGGCCCTGTTGAAATGGATATCTTACAAAGCCTGCAAAAAGGGCAGACTGAAATCCTAAATAAGCTAGATTTTATTGAATCCCGGATCGCGAAGCATGAGGGAATGATAGTGGACATAAAGGACAGCCTTGGAGCAACTAAGAAGCAAGTCGAAGACTTAGGCAAAATAGTTACAGAGCATAAGGATGACATTTCGATTCTGCAGAAAGAGTTGAGGAATTTGCAGGCTAAGAACGTTGACCTGGAAAACAGAAGTCGTAGACAAAACCTTTTGTTTTATGGAGTAGATGACAATAAAAAAGAAACATGGGACGAATCCCAGGAATTGATAAAAAAATCGTTGGCGACAAGCTTGGAATCGAAGTGGCATCGTTAGAAAGGGCACATCGCATTGGTGTATAGCGAGAACAAAAAAAGCGACCTATCATCGCAAATTTCGCTTCGTACAAAAAAAGGCAAGAAATTTTGTCCAACGCAAAAAAATTGAAGGGGTCAAGTTTCAGCATTGATCAGGATTTTACGCCAGCTACTCGGGAAGTGCAGAAGCGGTAATGGGAATACGGTAAAACCCACAAAAGTGAGAGCACAAAAGTAAAACTGAACTTTGAGAGGCTTTCCCTTGATGAAAAAACGTACGTATGGGATGACGAGAAGAAGGAAGTCGTTCCATTGCGGAAAAAATGACGCGCACCTGGAAAAAAACACGCCCGACACAGCTTCATCGCTGTTTTAATAAATTGTAGAAGCATAACGAAAAAGACGGACGAATTGGCGGGGCTTATCGAGTCTGTTAAAGCTGACGTAGTTATCGGAACGGAATCGTGGCTGCACCGTGATATCAGCGACTGTGAAGTATTTCCAAGTGACTTTGTCGGGTACCGCAAAGATAGACCAAGCCATGGGGGCGGTGTATTCTTACTTGTGCGAAGTTCTTTGAAATCTGCTGCCCTCGACATTCAGTGTGATAGTGAATCTGTTTGGTGCACGATTACCTTAGACGATAATTCTTCATTCGCTGTAGGTGCATTTTATCGACCTCCAAACTCGGACTACAAAACACTTCAGTCGTTAAATGAGATTATCTCGGAAGTTTCAAACTGAACATTCCTTCTTGCTGGTGATTTTAATTTGCCAGACTTAGAATGGCATGATGGAATATGCGTACGAGGCACTGGGTGCCGCGCAAACATAGAAATGAAAAATATAATTGACAACTACGGCCTTACCCAGTTTGTTACTTGCCCAACTAAAAATAATAACCTTCTTGACCTTGTGTTCTCAAATTCACCCAGTTTGGTGAATAATGTCAATGTTATTCCAGGAATCAGCGACCACATGGCTGTTGTTACAGAAATCAAAAAAGAATGTAAAAACACCTCGAATAGTGCGGCAAGAAAGGTTTTTTTGTTCAGTAGGGGTGACTACACAAGAATAGTCGAAAAGCTAGAAGATTATTTGCCCGTGTTTGAATGCCTAGCTGAACACTACAGTATGAATGATTTATGGCTTAGCTTTAAGGACAAGTTGTTAGCACTCGTAGATAAGTATATACCTGCGAAACAAGCCGGAAAGCTTCGTAAACGCAAGAAGCCATGGATGACGTCCGGTATTTTGAGATTAATCCGGAAAAGGCGACGGGTTTTTGGTAAATTAAAGAAATCTGAAAGCAGTGACCACGTGAAAGAATTACAAGCATTAACGGAGCAGTATAAATTATGTGTGGAAAGCGCAAAAACGAAATATTTCGAAGGGCTCAGCAATAAAATGAAAACTAATTCAAAGTGTTTCTGGCATTATATGAAAGAGTGTGGGTCTGATCATGTTGGAGTGGCTGAACTAAACTTTAATAATATGGTTGTAGTTGATGAGGAAGCAAAAGCTACCTGTTTAAACAAATATTTCCAGTCTGTGTTCTTGCCCAAGCTTGACGTTCCTTCAAAACCACACCCAACCACGATTCCGCCGATGCCACCGGTAGAACTGAGTGTCCGTGGCATATGTTCTCTTCTGGAAAACCAAGATGAATCCAAAGCAGTTGGTCCTGATGGCATCTCTCCTCGTATTCTAAAGCGATGTGCACTGCCAATTTCCCTTTACCTTTATATAATTTATTCAAAATCCCTTTCAACGGGAACTCTACCCGAAGATTGGAAAATGTCTCATGTTGTTCCGGTTCATAAGGGTGGCTCAAAAAAAGATGTAACAAATTACCGACCCATTTCATTGACGTCAGTGGCATGCAAAATTTTCGAGCACATTTTATCCAAGCACATATTGACCCATCTTACTGCTAATAATCTATTAATAAATGAGCAGCACGGTTTTCGTGCTGCTCATTTGTGCAGCGTTTTGTGCAGCCTATTGCGCAGCGTTTTTACATACGCGTTCAAGGTTTTGTTTGTGTTGTTCAACTCGGTTATCAATTTGCCTTGGTCCTTGACAACCTCTACCACTTTCTCAACTTGTTTTAGTCTTTCGCCCAACGCAGCTAAATCAGTTCTGATGGCCTGTTCCCTTCAAGAAGTTCTTTCAAGAGTGCTGGCGTGTTAGGACCTAAATTCGTTTCGATGTCACCAGATAGCAACATACACAAAGAAGCGAATGACAAACAAAGTACTTTCGGGCACGGCAGCACTACAATGAAGCGATTATCGTTCTTGTAACCGTAGTGCGAATAGAAACCAACCTGTTCAAGGAACAGAAGACGAGGTACAGGTGACATGCCTTCTGCGGTGCCACCGTGCCCACTGATGGAGGCTGGTGAGCCCGCTGCCTTCATAGGACTAGATGACGTTCCTGTCATCCTTCCGTAGGATCTGCCGGCGGTGCCGTCGCTGACAGGCACTTCCCAGTCAAGGATGGTCCTATCAGGATCCAGTCCGGCGATACACGTGTTGGATACGTTATGGCGGGATGCGCACATCAACAGAACCTGTTCAAGGAACAGAAGATGAGTTACAGGTGACATGGCTTCTGCGGTGCCACCGTGCCCACTATATAGAGTTGTGGATTGCCTCAGAGCGCACATTCGACATGCTAGCCGTGTCCCCGACCACCACTTGGCCCTTCTACCCTCCGGAAGACCACGTGCTACGTTTTCAGACGTCATAGCCAAGCACCTAAACAGCATTCCATCAGGATATACGCCAGCTACGAGAATGGCACGTCCTTTGTGGTGCCTCGACCAGCCGCAAGTACGTCTAGAAATTCGGGTATCAAAAAAAAAAACAATCACTCCAGAGTAGCATTGAAGCAAGCAACGCTGCTATTATTAGAGTTGTACTTGGACCGAACGCAGATATGCACTGATGGGTCTGTCTCATCCAGCAGCTCACCAGGTGCCGCTGTAATTCCAGCTGCAGCAACGACAATCAAATTAAATTTTCGCATATGACTACATCTATGGCATCAGAGCTTGCTGCTACAAGGGCTGCTTTACAATATCTCGTTCAAGAGCGTCCAGGAAAATGGGAACGGATAATTTAGGTGGTGGAGCAAAATAATGTGATGAAAATTTTTTGTATTTTTTTCGCCTATTTGTTGTTTCTTTATGCTTGGCATGATTGTTATTATGTCAGATTTCGTTCACTGTTTATATGTAATGACACATTGTGGTTTTTATGTATAGGACATGCCTTCTTTATGTATAGGACGTGTCTTGCTATTTCATGTAAACAATGATTATATTTATGCCCACCCCTGTAATGGCCAAATCGAACAACTGATCCTGAAAATAAATAAATAAATAAATAAGTCAAACATTTTTTACAAATTTTAAATTTTTACTGATGCGTTGAAATGTTCGGGTTGACAATGAATTCGCTTGCGAATATTGTGTACCTTTTAAAAAAGCTTGCTCGATGCGATGGTGGTTTTTTTTACATAGCAATATTGTTTCCGGTAAATTACAATACACTGCAGTTTGTATAAATATGAAACGTGATGCATTAATTTCTCAAATATCCTACAGGAAGGTAATGCATTGCTTAAAAACACCTGTTTAGCTGATTTATTATGATTTTAGGTACCAATAATAGTACTTTGATTTGTGTATGATTTTTATTATTATTATGATTTATCATGGTTTTTAGGTAATATGATTTTTATATGGTCTGAATGAACACGATTCATTTGTAAATGGGGCGTGAATGTTTTTCCGCAAGAGCTGCCAACATATGAACGTATTTGCAATAGCCGTGCCGCAGCCTATTTGACCCTAAAAACAGTTAACAAAAGCACTCCCGAATAAGAGAAGAAACACCCGACCTTCGCTAAAAGAATGCTCAAATTGAAAGGAAACCACTGTTGCGCTATGGCAAGGCCGGAAAAGGAGCCTTGTGACAGTTTAATGCCAGCCGCTAGGAGCGTTAGCAGTCATGTGGGCCGTATGTATCAATGAGCATGTCCGCTCTTCACAGGTATTATGTTACTCTATAGGCAGGCTGCAAGCCGGAGGCGCAATACAGCGGACGCCACTGTCGCAAGCGAAAGAAAAAAAAAAGAAACGCGCCGAAGAGGCGGCGGTGAGGAAAGAGCAGATGGTGGTACTCTTACCTAATTATAGGGTTTTATGTAACGTTCAGTGTGTGGCGATGTGGTAAGTGGCCGATTCCGCCGACTTGCATGCGCGCTAGGATGAACCGCATGCAGCGCCTTGGCGCCCGTGTTTTTTGTTGCCGCGAGCCAAAAACTCGGCTTCAGGTGACAGTCTCTTACAGAGATGCACGAGACAGAAAAAATACCAGGTGGTTATTGCAGCATCCAGTGGCGACTGTGTGTGAACGTCAACCGAAAGCTGAGTATCGTTGAATTATAGCGGCACTGAAGCGTTTATAGGTTTTCATCCTTGTTACAGTGTCTAGAATAGCGAAGTGTGATTAACGCACCGCCTAGCGCGTAATGCCTTGAGAGGACCCCGCCAGGTGGCACTGGCACACGTTTGCACGCAAGTATTACGGCTTGGTGGCACTAGCCACCGCCCGATCTAGAGGGTACAGCCATACCAATCCATCAGTTCCATCTATCCACGGTTCAGTTCGGATTGTCACGGTGGATGGTTGTGTTTATGAGCGCTCCTGATCGACTACGCAGATAAGTGTTTTTGCATGTTTTGAGCTTGTCTTTATAATTATAAGGCAGCAGTTGAAATCTTTGTAGTACTTATCTTATTGTACGGCTTTTTCGGGGGTCAGTCAGCCAGGTATTTATTAGTTTGTGCGTGCGTGTGGCTTTGATTTTTTGTTTGTTTTTTTTTGTTGTTTTTTCTTTTAGCCATCCCGTGGGGGAGGTGCACCACATTGAAAACGCAAATTTTTGTAGTAGAGCTTAG